AGTCATTTATTCCTGGAGTGTTACGTAACGCAGCAGTGGGTTTCTGCTCACATCCAGCTTAAGCAGCCAGAAGAAACAGGAAGGTAAGAGGCAGCTCAGCTAACACGGCCATCAGATGCTGCCCTCCCAAGGAATCTATTCTTTTTATCTGTCCAGTCGTGTATGGTCAATAAACAGTGTTATCAGCTTCATCTCACTCTATGTCAGCATACCATACTACTGACAACACCTCACCTGCAAAGGAAAATGTCAGGAGTCAGGTGTTTGTTAGTCAAGCTCCTCTCCACCATGTTCTGTTTTAGTTGCAGCTAAGTCCATCAGTCATCACCTTAGAAAGTCAGAGAAAAGTGTGTGTGGAGCTTATAACAAGTACACTCATTAGCAGTGAAATAGTGTTAGGGGCCATATTCATACTTGCTGCTAAATGAATAATTTCTGGGAGCAGTAATTAGCACTAAAACATCATCACTCAACAGATTACCTTTTGGCAGAGGGACAAGTTGTTAAAATCACGCTGCAAAGCTAATGATTGATGAGTTGACGAGATTGAGTGTTTGTGAAGCTCCCAATGCTCCTGTGGCTTCAGAGTGCTGCTTATATTTTAATAGTAACTGAGTCTGATGTTCTGCTTTGCAGAGGAGTGACGTGTGTTGCAAAGATATCAGACACCTTACGCAGATCGCATATGGATATGGGCCACTTCAGGCAATGATGCAGCTCTTCATGGCCTTCTTAGGGACCGGACAAAATGCATGTGAGCCTAATGTAAAATAGCAAATGTGGCCCAAATGTGGGTGTAATCTGGAAGTGAACCTAAAGTGGCACCTGTGGTAAATATTGTATAAGGCCCAAAAAGCACAAATTAAATTTGTGTCACCTTCGGTTGACATGCGGTATTGCTATGGCCGACTTGAGGCCCACATCTGGCAAACAGGAGCCAACCACCCAATTGGAAATGGCAAAACTATTTTCCTATGTGGGTAGTTGATGGGGAAGGCTTAAACTTGACAGTAGCCCCCTCATATATCAAAGAGCTGATAACACCTTATTATCCAAGTAGATCACTTCGTTCCCAAAACACAGGCTCTCTAGTGGTTCCAAGAGTCTGTAAGAGTAGAGCAGGAGGTAGAACATTTAGCTATCAGGCTCCTCTCCTATGGAACCAGCTCCCACTCTGGGTTCGGGAGGCAGACACTGGGCTGGATCAGGTGAGTCCTGAACCATCCCTTAGTTGTGCTGCTATAGGTTTAGACTGCTGGGGGAACTCCCATCATGCACTGAGCACTTCTTCACTTCCCTCTGTCTCTCTGTCTCTCTGCCCCCCCACACCTCTTTATTTATTTATTTATTTATTAGTTTTAACATGTCATCATGTCAAAGTGTCACTTTGTCCTCCCATGATCCCTCTGGCTCTTCTCTCTATCTCGTTTCAGATAACTCCGGCACCGGGACTACAGGACCACAACGACCACCATCACCATTGTCTGCATTTATTACAAGAACTCAGCAATTTATTTATATATCTAGTCATGTTGTAGATCTATACATTGTTATTGTTATGGTTAGCCTTGATTTTGATGGTGCCAAATTGTTACCGGTCTCTCTCTCTCCACCTCATCTCTCTCTTCTCTCCCCCGCTTTCCACCCATCTCTCCTTTCCTCCCCCCTTACTTTTCTTTCCTCACCCCAACCGGTCGAGGCAGATGACCGCCCACATTGAGCCTGGTTCTGCCAGAGGTTTCTCCCTGTTAATGAGGGAGTTTTTCCTCTCCACAGTCGCCTGTGCTTGCTTATTGTGGGAACTGTTGGGTTTCTCTATGTTAATATTGTTTTAAGGTCTTGACCTTTAAATGTAAAGTGCCTTGAGATAATGTAAATTATGAATTGGCGCTATATAAATAAAATTGAATTGAATTGAATTGAAGTTGACAGAAGGGTGGAAGGAAAGTAAGTGTGATTATTTTATTACAGTTAATTCCATTCGCGAGTTACTAGTTTCTACAGCGATACTTGTTGAAGGTGTTTTAGGACTAGACAACGTTTTAGCTAATCTCTATTAACAGTGATATATGAATGCAGATTAATAAAAAAGATGATAGCTCATGCATTACAGTCAATGTGTTCCATCTCTGATATCCCCTTGTACTAAGTATGATTTTTAACATTGCATGCATTCTATTTTTCCTTATCTTCAATTATTTGTCTTGGGACGTGCAGCCCAAATATAAAGTTTGCATATTTTTGTGACACATCTGAAATGAAATGAAGGAAAGTGTGTGGGTGTGTGTATGTGTATTACCTCACACACAGCACATTGAAACGTTTCAAGAAATATTTATTTAGTAATTTATTATGTAACTGAAAATTCTGCATTTATCAAGTTTTGGATTAGAGAAGACAAGAGTGGTGTTGAGAGAGCTTTGTTCTTTCTTTGTGGAATGACTTGTCTCTCCCGCTCTGAGCAGAAAGTAGAGTTAATGCAACAAGACAAAACATTTTGTCAACATCTGCAGAAGGACAAAGACAAGAATCATGCATAATTTCTTGATTAAGTTACAGGTGCAGAAAGTAGCATGGTATTTCTTTTGCACAGTGCACGTTGACTTTCACAGCTGCAGAGACTTGTTGGCTTTTTGTCTGCTCTGACAAATCCATACATTTAATGTTGAGGATCCCAGATGAAAAGCAGTAAAATGTGTAATTTCATCTTCCATCAGAGGATTGTGTAACAAAAGTCGCCCACTTGTGTTAATTATAACTGAATGTAATTTCTCGGATTGCCCTGCAGGTTACACAGTCAGACACAACAAAACCCTGCTATTCTGCATGGTTGTGTTGGAGGTCACTGGTTACTGAGGTCAGTGGTTTTTTCCCTCTGTTGTGCAGCAGGTAGACACCTAAGGGGATGTCGACAGGCCGCTGATGTATGATGACAGTCACCCTTTAGATGATCTTCACTATTTTTATGTTCATTCAGGGGATTACAGAAAGAGAGAGAAGAATGAAAGGAGGAAAGTAAATAACTTGAGGAGTGTATCCTGTGTTCGTTTTGCTGTTGTTATTGTTACGTCCTGGCTTTCCTGCCGGTCCCCATTTGGTTCCTGCACTTGTGCCTGTGTGCCGCTGGCAGGTCAGGGTATGCAGATTTCTTATGTCTCGCCAATACTCCTTCACACTTAAGCTTCATTCCTCTATCTAGACCACAAGACTCTGTTTTGTGTAAGAACAACCTGCCAGATCATCGCTCACCGGAAATGCTTTGACACAACCTCTCTGCTTGTTTGAAAGAGCTTTTATTACCTTGCCTGAATCTAACCACTGCTGTTTTTGTCTGCACCTAGGAGTCATACCTGCCTTGCTTTCCACCATCACCTCGAGCTTACATTCTGACTCCTGCCTGCTCATGTGTCAGCACACATCCACAGGTGGATTCAGATTCTCAGAACACTAGAGGTCAGAGTCCATTGGAACCAGAGACTCTCAGAAGACACCTTATTATGAAATTATAAAATTATTGGATTTATTTACCTCCACTAAGGAGGTAAAGTTTTCACCCCTGTCCATTTGTTTGTTTGTCAGCAGGATTACACTGAAACTACTGAATAGAATTCCACGAAATTTGGTGGATAAGTGGGATAAGAAAGGATCAAATCTCAGCCCGGATGGCAGATCCAGGAATTTGATTTCACTTTCTGTGACATACTCAGATTTTTTTTTCTTGTCTTAAAAAATCAGGCACATTTTGCAGACCTATATTTATGAGTGTGTGCAATTTGGTGCAGCTTGATTGAATTTAAGGGGACTGTCAGGCTTTGGCAGCCATATGCAGTCGACTGAGTGCCATTCTACTTCATTCTGTTTATCAACTTGCACATTAAACCTTTTAAACCCATTCCTGTCTCCGCTCCTGTGCTCTTAGAGTCCAGCCATTACCTCAAATCCTAACAGATAGGCAGTCCAAACCCTCCCCCAAATCTAACTCCTTCTGTGTTCCATCTCACTGCAGCCACTAAAGTATGTTCTTACTAAACCTCCAGAAAACTCACTTTTAAGGATAAACACAGATGCGCACACATACACCAACATTTATGTTGGCATCCATCAAACAGCTTTAACTGGACTGCAAATCCCAAACTGACAGGCTTCCAGCAGATGCTATTTACTTTATAAATAGACTTTTTTTTTTTCCAAATCCAAAGTTGGTGACGTGTGTCTGCTGGACAGAGCCACAGTCTGCTCATCAGCCCAAAAGCATTTTTTAAATTTATTTCACAATGACCGCTGACCCTGGCCATGTGTGTCTTTCTAAAAAAGAAATCCTTCCTGACTGGTAAATATCCACTGCTGCTCAAGTGTTATATAACTGAACCTCCAGAGCAAACAGAGCCATTCAGCAACAGGTGTAATGTCACCTCCATCTGTGCCACCACAGTTCGGGATTACAGTGTGTGACGGCACATACAAACAAGTCTATGCCTCCATCAGAGAGGGGGACCGTGAACAATGTTCCTCTTTATTTAAGAGAAGATCATTAAACAGCTGCTTCTCTCTTTAAAAACTGTGGCCTTTTATAATTAGTATGCCTGCAAGGATGATAAAGTCCAGAAAAACCTCTGGCTGTGCCGTTTTACTTCCACATGCATCACTGACTCTTAATGGCCATGTCACCCTATACCTCGATCATATCACTGTCAGTGGCATGTAAACCTTAGAAAAACATTTTAAATGATAAGGCATTTTGTTCTGCATTCTGTGCATGTAATGCTGAGAAAAGTTAGACATAAAAAGAAGTACATTGTGTGGATTTACGTTATCAAACACAAGAAGCTCAGGAGCTCATCTGAGGAGAAAACATTTACTTGCTGAAAAATCTCAAATCCAACTGTTCTCTCTCTCTCTCCCTCCCGAGTTTAGACATGGGTTGGTCCTCGAAGTGATGTCACTTCACTCCTGTATGGGCAGTCATTCCGCCAGCAGTGTGCAATGCAGCTCCAAAGCGATGCAGTTCACCGTAACACAAGAGCAGCATTACGCACGGCGACATTGGAGGAGTGAGCATATTCGCGGATCATTGGATTGTAATCTCTAGTTTTTCTGACATTTGAAATACATTTGGAACTTGCTGTGCGCGTCGGGACTATCTGAATCTGTGATTGAGGATTTGTTTATTGTGGAAGAACATATTTGTACTATGTCTGTCGTTTGCTTCTCTCTGCACTGACCAGGAGCATTACGCGCAACGCGTAATCTCCATACGTTGGTGGGTAGCAGCTCTGTGCAACCGGTCTTGGCTCTTTTGGAAAGACAAAGGGCGCAAAACACGAAACATGATACGAAGGGACAAGTTGGAGCCAGCATGGATTTAACCCAGTTAAATCTGTTGGTGGGAAACGTGTCAAACGATGAGAACAGCACGGACGCACCGCTTTCCTTGCCACACTCACAGACAGCTACTGCACTCATCATTCTGGTGGTTACTGTGATTATTTCGGTGACCATTGTCGGAAATGTTTTGGTGATTGTGGCGGTGCTGACCAGCCGCGCTCTCCGTGCGCCCCAGAACCTTTTCCTTGTCTCTCTGGCGTCCGCGGACATCCTGGTGGCCACGCTGGTCATCCCCTTCTCCCTCGCCAATGAGGTTATGGGGTACTGGTACTTCGGAAGTACCTGGTGCGCCTTCTACTTGGCTCTGGATGTGTTGTTCTGCACCTCATCCATCGTGCACCTGTGCGCCATCAGCTTGGACCGCTACTGGTCAGTCACTAAGGCGGTGAGCTACAACCTGAAGCGGACACCGAAACGCATCAAGTCCATGATCGCTGTTGTGTGGATAATATCTGCGATCATCTCCTTCCCTCCTCTCCTCATGACCAAGCATGACGAGCGGGAGTGTCTTCTGAACGATGAGACCTGGTACATCCTCTCATCCTGCATGGTGTCCTTCTTCGCCCCGGGTCTCATCATGATTCTGGTTTACTGTAAGATCTACAAAGTGGCCAAGCAGCGCTCCTCCACCGTTTTCGTGGCCAAAAACGGTCTGGAGAGGCAGCCCTCTCAGTCGGAGACCTGCTTCGTCAGGAAGGACCGGATTGAGATAGAGAGCCCCAGCAGCCAAGGCTCTGGCAGCCACCAGCAAAGGCAGGGGGAGTTGGATGACATCGACCTGGAGGAGAGCTGCTGCCCGTCGGACACCAAACCGCGCAATCATCGCTTCACCAAGCGGAGAAAAGTGGAGGGGTCGGACTGCTGCCCGCCGCAGAGCTGCCGCCTCTCCTGGGCATCGGCCCGGGCGTCACAGCTCTACCCGGAGCAGAAGACCCCGGCGGAGCGACCCCGGGTGGCCGCGGTCAACAAGACCAAAGTGGCCCAGATGCGGGAGAAGCGTTTCACCTTCGTGCTGGCGGTGGTGATGGGGGTGTTTGTGCTCTGCTGGTTCCCCTTCTTCTTTACTTACAGCCTCCATGCGATCTGCAGAGACAGCTGCTACATCCCGGGCGCACTTTTCAACCTCTTCTTCTGGATTGGCTACTGCAACAGCTCCGTGAACCCCATAATATACACCATTTTCAACAGGGATTTCAGGAAAGCCTTCAAGAAAATTGTATGCAGGACTCCCAAGCGCACATAACACTAGAGGTAGACAATTATTGTGCCTTTCATGGCTCAACAGTGCTGGGGAGGAATTGCATTATCAAGACTCATTGCTCTTGACTGACTAGTTCCCCTCCAGAAATCATTTAATGTAACTATATGAGGGGGGGAAAAATCCAGTCTTGTGTACAGATTTAAATGTCCATAAATAAAATGTGAAGTGGAGCAAAAGAAAAGCAAAAGATGAAGTTAATCATCAAATATTTATCTCACTGGAGATCTGTAAAGTTTTAATGTAGGCCACTAAAAAGTTCTGCAAACATGTACCTTTGAAAAAGAAAAGCATGTATTTGATCATGCTGCCGCAAGCAGAAGGATATATTCTGCAGAGTGAAAATGAAATTTTGTATGTAACTGTAACAGTAGGTGTTTAAAATTGAGATCCCTACGACATCTATCTCCATCATCTCATCTATGTACTATAAGCATGGGGATGTGCAAGCAAGTTCCACAGAGAAAAACAAAAAGAAACAAAATCCTGCAGATTTAAATGTCTGGCATTGTTACAGGTATAATTCAGATACGTCTTGTGTTAAACTGCAGTGAAAGCTCCTTAAGTCTTATCAGAGAACCCCCCTAAACTTACATAAGAGTCTAATCTCACACCCCCACTGCACATCACACCACCACACACCGCAACAATTGCCAAGCGGAGGCCTGCGTTTGTAAAACCCTGTTGGACAAATCTGCATATTTTCATTTCAACCTCAGCTCAGTATTTTGTCAGTAAATATTTCAAAGATGTGGGAGCAAGATTCTGCCATACAAAACAGTCTCAGTGTCATGGGACAGGAGTTTAAATGTCAGTTATGTTGTCCCACTATATTTTATATTCTTTGACAAACGAAAAGCTTCAGGCCAGATGATGAAAAAAACCTCCAAAACTGAGTTTATGTTCAAACAAAACAAAAAAGCAGTCCTGCTCCCTCTATCACTATAAACAGCACCGCTGGACACAGGTATTTCAGGTAAAGCTGAAATACCAGCATCAAATCTCCTTGGATACAGTTAGAGAGCTTAATATCTTTGAGACATGCCTCAGGCTGTAATCCTTTATAAAGCTTTATAAAGCTGTACTTTACGACCTCATGTGCCCTGTAAATTTCTACTTGTGTAAAATCTACAGAAATGACTCATAGCAGGAGCAATTCAACAGGCTGCATTGAAAACTACGGCTGTTGTGGGAAGTCAAAATAATCTCTGTTCTCATGTGATCATGTCACAAGAAGAAAACTGTTCTGATTCCTTTATATTTACGTGGATCTGCCCAGGTGCAACTAGGTGCTGTCGCAAGGAATTGTTGGACGGCATACTTTGCTTTTGTAAAGGATGGTCCAGTGTTTACTATACTAAAGGAGATAAAATAGGAAGCATCAAAGCTCCTTTCCTTATTATTTGGAGAGTTTAAACAGGTCGTTTTATGGAAATACTTCCAGGTCATTTGACTCAGTTGGGAACCTTCCTAAGCAAAATGGACGCCAGCTATCTTGCAATGTTAAATAAAGTAATAAAAACATTCCTGGATCTGCACCAAAAAATTATAATGGGTTCCTTCCTGAACAATACCAAGTTTTGTGGCAGTCAACAAACAAATGGACGGAGGTCAAAATATACAAAGTTGTTTACAATGGAGACATTGTTATAAATTATATACAGGAAAAACAATTGTGGATGTTAGTATTAGAGCTGCTCATCTCTGTATTCCACACAGCCTCATATTGTGGTGAGTTCATGCTTCAAGGATAGAAAGTGTAAAAATGTGAAATGTTGAATACATGGTGGAGCTTCTCTGGGGAACACTGGTTGAGAGGAGAAGGCTGACCAGCTCTGTATCAGCATATTGCAAGCATGGGGATGCTGGGGATAAATACATTATTTATATCCTCTCAGGAATGTCTACAAAGCAGCTCGCTGGTGCCTCGCCAAAGATAATCACCCCCTTTCCAGGCGTGTCACACTTAAATTGAATTCTTTTTGTTGCAAAAGTTAAATGAAGCGCTCTGTTGTGAAGCCAGCTCATACTCACGAGAGTGTTGCTGGAAAAAATGTTGAGGGGAAACAAGGGAGAAGGTGGTTGCTCCTTTTCCTTTTTCTCTCGATGCGCGCCACCATTTTATTCATGAGCAGAATTAGACAGTGAGAGAGAAGTGGGGCTGGTGCAAGGAAGGGAAACTTTACCTCAAAGGGATTCACAAACTCTTGAAACAATTGAAACGTCTGGGCCCAGTCGACTTCACAAGAGGTGGCGGAATTAGCGTCTTCATCTTCTCAGCATCCGAGTGATGCTAATTGGCATATGTGCAACTTAATAGGATGTTATTGTTCATGTAGCTTAATTTCTCCAGAGAGCACAGTCATCACTACTAATGGTTGCTGCATTAGTCATGATTGGAAATGTTTACATGAGCATTCACATGTAATTATCTTCCTGTTGGTATACTGATTACTGTCTGACACGACATGCAGCTCCCTGGTTAGATCTCACTTCCCAATTCAATTATCTTTTTAATCAACTGCTCCTTTGCAGTACGGATGGAGCACAATGCTTTTAATTAGCTGGAGTGTTTTCCGAGTGCTACTTCCAGACATGTCTCCTCGCACACTTCACCTGTCTTCTTTTTGAGTCCAAACTGAGAGACGGCGCGACATTGTGTTATTCGACTTAATTTCACCTTCTCAAAACCTTCACACAGGACGTAACATAGATCCCTCACAATGCTTCACCATTCATCGGATAATTGCTGCGCTAATTGCATTTTTCTATCCCAGGAAAAATTAGTATTGTTTACACTCTGTTGATTTGCAGGCCTCTCAAGACTGCACTTCCATCTATTGAGCCTTTGATTCATCCCAGACTGTAAACACAGTTGGAGACTAGTTCAGGAAGAGAAGCTGAGGTGAGCCCCCCTGCCCTCTAAAGGCTTAATGAGAGAAACAGACCAACCGGACAGAGCCCAAACATTTCCTGGAGTGGGAGACCGAAGGGAAAAGCTTTATACAGGGCTGTTCTGTTAGAGAGAGAGAGGGGACAGGCAGGGTCTGCTGCCAGCGCTATTTAGAGTCAGCAGTGAGGGGAAGGCTATTTACAGTCACAATAGTCGGAGGAGATGTTGTTATAAATGTTTCAAGATGGGTGAAGCACGGGAAAAACACAGCAGGAACCCCTTAGGATGAGAGAGCGAGGACGATTAAGAGAGCAGTAGCTTGTTGTCCTCCGCCACGTTACCTTGTTTGTCAGACACAATGCAGCATCTGCAGGTAATTGCCTTTTTCAATTGTCTCTAACAAGATAAGGGTCGGAGGCGAGCAAGGCCAAAACTTGCGTCAATCCCATGAAGCTGCGTATCTGGAGAAGAAGTGCCAGTTTGTCATTAGCGTAAATCAGCCGGTGTCACATCGAAGCGAGGGTGGGACTGAGATCAGCGTCTCCAGGCACTTCTAATGTATTGCCCTGTGGATCACAAACAACCAACACATGACGCCGAGTGTCAGAGGAAATCAGAAGACTGCAGCGGGAACTTAGAGCTGACAGTCAGATTATTGGCCTTTCTGTGTTGTGTTCTTGTCTGTGTGTCCTCTGTGTGGACCAATCAAGTGGAGATGACTCACTAACAGAATATACTTAAGAAAACTCAAGATCTATTTCTCAAAACAATATTTACAATCATTGTGCAAATGCTCTGCAGCAGGGGTTGTTCTGTGTGAGTTATTAAGCAAATATTTGCAACTGTAAAGGAAAAGTAGGGGGAAAAAATGTATTATTAGAAATTAATCAGAAGATGAATCAGCACATTTTAAAGAAAGAAAACCAAACAGCTTGATAAACAATTTCAAGGTCTTAAAAAATTGAAGTCCCAGAACCAAAAACTATTTTGGACAGTCCCCAACTGAAGTGTTCAAATTATTCCTCTTATTGTTTTTTTTTTTGTTTTTTTATAAATTAGAGTAAATTTGTGGCCTGTTTTAAATATGTCTTCAGTAGAAAGAAATTGATTTTTGTTTGAGAGCCACAGAATAATTGTTTTTAATCTGTCACATGGTTTGTTGTTAATAATTAAGATATATATATATATATATATATAGAATATAACCAGCCTCAGTCCCTAAAGATGTAACTCTCTATGCATTCATCTCTCTTTTTCTATTGCCTTGTTCTTCGTTTTTAAATTAGCTTCTCAAATATGAACAAAAAGGAGTTATTCAAAGAGAGGGTGGAGTAAACACTGCACCTCTGTCTCTGTTTATCTTTAAAATAATTAATGAGGGCAGTATATATTTATTTTAAATATTCTTCTTCCACAAAATGTGACTCTTTGCAGCTTTAAACAATTCACTATATTGCTGACCACTACATGATTTATTTTTCCAGATCTCTGTACTAAATTTACATTCACAAATGCCTCCAACAGCACAGACGGCAGACACGGTAGCACAGTGCACATATTGCATGTAAGGTAAACACTGAGGTTTCTGTTATTCCTCAACATTGTATTGCTGTTGTTTTTCTTCACACGTCAGTAGGAGATATTGTCTTCATCCCCACACACTCTTTCTCATGAGATCATTATTTCAAAACAGTTCGTGTTAGATTAAACCGTCTCTTTTGTTTCTAGTAGGTGTTCACAGGTGATATGTAAATAAAAAAACAAAGATCTATCATGCTGATTCATTTTCTAGGGGAAATTTGTGCATTGTGTATCTAACAATATCTGCTTGACAGTGCTATACTTTGTGCATGCACTCCAGCACTTCCATTCTTCCTGTGCTGAGGCAGATTACTTGAATGATACCCTGCTGGACCAAAGTGCTTCTCTTTTCTCATTTGTTTTTCCATTTGGTCCATTTCACACAGTGTGGCACAGAAGCCGCACCATTAAAAGAACACCTATGACCTGTAACGTATGGGAACTCTGATATCTAAAAACAGAAAATGGACCATTATGCAAAGGTAGGTCAATGCATCACGAAAGAGGGACATTTTGGAATAACATTATATTGTATGTATAATAATATAAAAACTGGTAAAGCTGCGCCTCTTAGGGATTACTATTCTCAACTTTTCACAATTGTTTTTCATCCCTCTGCGTTACCATGTGGTTCTTACACTGTGTATAAATACTTCCTCCCACTATCCAAAAGTGAAGCTAAAATATCCCACATACGAAAGCTGTCATCTTTGCGCATTTGGAGCCAGAGTCTCAGTTGTCAATCATGTCTTCATGTATTTTATATTTAGCATCGAATAACTAATGAAAAAGAAACATACCAGAATCATAAACACTTGCACTTAAATCAGTGTGACAAGAACTATCTAAAATGACAGAACCCATCTTAGAGAAAAACCTTTTAATTTGGCATATGTCCCAACCACTACCATGGATGAGGCACAATTTATGAGCTTTACTACAGCCCGCCTACAGGGGGAGCTCAAGATGCTTTGGCTTCACTTTTGGGGAGCCTTTATATCGTTCATCTTTATGTACAGTCTGTGCTTTTGATAATTAATAATGAAGGAGTTCTGGCGCTACCACCTGCAACCATTAATGAGAGCTAATGGAACGAATCTATATTAGAAATAATGATGAAGAAGGAAACTATAATAAGTTTCACCTGCAAAAAGTGTT